CGGTTCTGTGCAAAAGTACTCTAGACCAATGGCCCCCAACCGTTTGGGCACCAGGGACCGTTTCTCTGGTCGAAAGGTTTTTTTCGCAGACTGGAGAGGACATGGTTTTGCCTGCTGGCTGAATCCTGTGGATGTGGCTTCACTTGTTTGCATGGGGCTGTCACATCCTTATCGGAGCCTAAATCTGTGGAGGAAGACGAGCCGGAGTTGGAGCCGAGGGAGACCAAGGGGGTGGCTTCGTTGGCTTTGAAAGAATGTGGGAAGAAGGCAGGCCAAGGCCCCTCAGGAATAGCATGGCTTGCTAGCAGGGAGGAATGGGCCCAGGACGACCAACAGAGGACAGACAGTGGGAATGAGGAGCAAAGGAGCTCAGGCAATGAGCAAGAACCACCCCCTCCTGATCCCCGAGCACAGAGAGTGGAGAGGAAGCAGGAAAAGTGCAGGTCAACCCAACAACTCGGGAGGAGAGCGCTCCACCCCTCTTGACAAAGCACACCTGGGGTTTGAGACTTATGGAGACATTGTGGGGAGGGGCAGTTGTCGGGAACAAATGCTGGTTTCATGGAGGTTTGTGTGTCATTGCCAACATTTGGAGTTTCCTGGACTTCTTGCTTTATTTCTTGCTTCCTAGATTAATTGCCTTGTTCCTTTGCTTCCTGAAACCATTGCTATGTTCCTTTGCTTTCTGGACTTATTGACTTATTCCCTTGCCCCACTGGATTTCTTATTTTGCAGCCATTGTGCTCACAGCATTTTGCTGGTGTGAGTGTGTGTGAGAGAGAGAAAGACAGAGAGAGACAGACAGAGACAGACAGACAGAGAGAGAGAGATGATCCATGGACACTGGGTTGGAAACCCCTGCTCTAGACTAGTTAGAAAATTCTAGCAAAAGCAGAATTAACTTTTCTCTTGAGTATCAACTTGAAGACATCATGTGCACTGGATGCTACAAGGAGAGGTGATTCTGGTACAATTATCTAATTCAACAGTTGGGTTGAGCCATGCTTCACATTTCCCAGAATGATGATTGTCCAGAAATATCATGGACATTTAAACATTGGCTAGATGTAGCTACTTAGTACAACTCAGAGTGCTGGATAAGAAACATAATGGAGGTTGCATCCATGACTGGTGTTAGGGCTGTTATGTACAACTCAATCTTTCAAGAAAGAGGAATGAGGCTGTTTCTTCATAACAATGAAATTGCTTCATTCATTCTGATGGTAAGATTTGCCTTGCCCAGTAAACCACCATTCTCTCTCCTCTGCCCTTTTTCCATATAGATCAGTCACCTATCTGGGAAATTGCCAGGAGGAATAGGAGAAGCCACAATCCCAGCACATCTGGAGGGCATCATGTTGAGGCAGGTTGATGTCAATGCCACCGGGAGTCGTTAGCGAAACAGTAAGATCTTGCATCTCCTATTTGGCAACACATGGCTCTGGCCACAAGGTTCATTTTATCTTTTCCCCATTTGGCCATTATCAATCACTAAAAACTCTAATTGCCTTTCTTTTTCTCCAATATCCTTTTTTTTTCTATTCGCTGGGACCC